CGTACCGCTTCCTCAACCTCAAGTAGAGATGGGATGTCGTCGAGTGGCACGCACGTGGGCCACCGCTTGACCTTGTCAGCCGCATGCAGGTCGATGGTCGGCGACTTGGTGTTGAGAAGCTTGTGGAACCACCGTGCCCACCGTTGGCGAATAAACGTGGGGTCCCGAAGGACCTTGCCGTCCTCGTCCTTGATGTTCTGAGAGGTGAACGACCTCTTACCTTCGACGTCGATCATCTTCAGGTGCCTGTAGAAACCCGCCTGATCCCCCTCGCGGCTCTTCTTCTCGAGCTGCCGTACATAGCCCTCGAAGAACTTTTCCAGTGCTCTCCACCTCGCGATGCTGCGCTTCTTCCGCGCCGCCTTGAGCATCGCCTTCAGGGTCGCCTCGAAGGCGCTGTTCTTTGAGGCCCCACGCAGTTGCTGCTGGGTCGCCTTGGTCTCCTTGGACGCTTCGGAGATCTCGTGCTGCGCTTCGCTCTTGTACCAGTCTCTCTGCCCTCGTGCGCACCTCGCCAGCGGCGCGGTCTCAGCAGCGGCCGACATCACCGTAGCCGTCAGCTCGGCGGCGGTCTCTCCCGTTGGCCGCCTGAGCGCCGTGGGCGGAGGGCGGCTAGAGGCCCTGTTTTGGAAGGCGTCCCGTAGGTGTTTGTCCTTCCTCAACCGCTCGAGGTCGATACGGATCCGGCTGCTTCCGCTGTTCCCCCGCACTCGTCGGTTGGGTGCGACACGGGGGGGGAGGCGGACAGTCGTAAGCACGAGGTTGTGGTCAGAGTCTTTGAAGTCGACACGTTTGACGGAGACATTGCGCACGAAACGCCGGTCCGCCTGACGCATGAGGATGAAGTCGAGGCGGTACTTCTCCTTTCCCTTGTTGGAGCTCTGGAATGTGTGCTGCACTCCACCTTTCGGTGTCCGGAAGTAGGTGTTGGTCAGGGAGAGTTGGTTGTCTGACGCCAGTCCAAGGAGTCGTTCCCCGTTGTTGTTCATAATGTCGCGTCCGTACGCGCCCATAATCTTGGCATCGCAGCACCCGTCTCGCCTCCTACCAGTACGTGCGTTGGCGTCCATTAGCACCACGAGATGGTCACGGCTGTGAACCTCCCGGATCGCTGCGTCGAGAGCAGTCCAGAAGGAGTCCTTGGCGTTAACGTCTCCGCACGCGGTGGTGCGGACAGTTTCCGTGGGGGCGTACCCCACCACGAAAGTTACTCCGCAGGTGCGGCCAATTTGTAGACGCACCTTCATCAGCCTCGGGCTAATGCACTCCACCGTCCTACCTTCCTCGCCCACACTCTCCCACATGGCTTCCTTAATCGCTATGCCCACACCGTGTACGCCGTTCTTGTCCTTCNTCCCACATGGCCTCCTTGATCGCTATGCCCACACCGTGTACGCCCCTCTTGTCCTTGGTGCCAGCACGGGCGCCACTCCAAATGATCACGTACCCGTCGTGTGCAATTGAACCTTGCCCCGCTCGTCGGGTCTCCTGAAGTCCTATCACATCACAGCCGGTCGCGGAACAAATCTGCATGACCGTCATCACGTTGTGACCGATGGGGTTCCTACCGCTGTAGGCGAGCGTGCGTACGTTGAACGTGCCGAACGATAGGTCGCCCTCTCGTGCATTCTTCTTCGCAGCCGCCTTGACGGCCGCTGCGGTCTCGTGTCTCTCTCGGTCCGCCTCGCGTTGCGTGTGTGCTTTCTTCCGTATTTTCCGAGCGGCGAGTTTCCTTGCATCAATCCATCTCTGCAGAGCTCGGTTCTTGCCTGTGGTGTTTTGGCGCGGAGGGTGCAGCACTTCCTTCCCGCGGTGCCCGCGGTTGTCTCCCTTCTCCCGCGAGCGGTGCTTACTGACGTGGTGTTTACGAATCTCTCTACTCCTCCAGCTTCGTGGGCCACGCTTTCCGCGACGGTGGTTGCCAGGTGCAGTTTGCCGCTTTGCATTACTGCCGCGGGAACAGTGTCCATACACACCTCTCGCCACTACCACCGTCTGTGCATCCTCACCGCCACGCTGAGCCAGCGCGGCGGTGAGTTGCACCTTGGGACACCACCCGCCTACTATCTGTTGTGGCCTGGTTCGCCCGCGAGGGACTCACTAGATCGATTTCGGCCCCGGCCGGGAACCAGGCCGAGGGGGAAGGAAGAGAGAGAGTGAATTTGATCGACTTCGTAAGTTGCAAGGGAAGGGATTGCTGTACCCCTCTCGCGATAAGAATATCTTAGGCAGGAACCGCAGGAGGGGCTCCAACCCCCCCCTACTATGTGACCCTGATTGAGTCGTCAAGCTGGTAGAAGTGGAGGATAGGGGCCAGAGGGGCATACAGGGTCCAACGATGGGCGAAAAAAAAAACCCTCTCCTAACCATGGTCGTGACAACCGACGTGTCACCCTTGCACATTCACTCTTATTCCAACTATAGACTAGACTAGTCTAGTCGTCACAATCGACTCGGACTCATGTCCCCGTACTTTCTCTTACATACGTATCGATTATCTTATCCGTACAGTAAATGTAGTACATATGCAGCCGGCACTGCTGTTTGTGTATCCGCGCGTGTGGGACAATTTTACATGGGGTTGCCGAGCAAGTTTCGTGTAGAGTTGGACTGAACCTTGAGTGCTTCGTGTACTGAGAGCATCAAACAGCTGAAAAAGTTGCGTAAGCCATTGCTGCCTGGTAGCAGCATTAGGCAATCCGGCATGGTGTGTGCTCTCATGTACAGGTGAACAAGATCGGATCAAGACCAGCGAGAGCAAGAGACACGACTTACGCGGCTTCCGTGCCTGGTGAGCGTGACGAGCAGCACAAGCTCGCCCTCCGCAACCATCCTGGTCCATAGGCCGACGGCAAGGCACCCTATCGCCACGCGAAGGCCAGCCGCAGTCCGCATGGCGCGCACACCACTTCGATCAGACTGCCTAGCCAGTATCGATTGCTATGTACGCAGTGCACGGTGCAAAATGGGTGGTGTCCGCTGGCAAGCTGGCAAGTGAATTCGGGTGCTATGATACCATTCCGCTGCGACGTGTAGGATGAGGTGTGTGTGTGGTTTTTATGGGGTATTGTTTACGCGCGTTATTTTCACCGATTCGTAATTTTTAATACGGAACCGGTTCCGGGGTTTCCACTGGTTCTAATCGGCAGGGGCGCGCCTTTTTGTCAAAAATCCCGGAAAGCGTCGATGCCGACGTACACACACCAGTCACGACCAGGCGAGAGGCCCGAGGCATACCACAGCAGACGCGATGAACCCACACCATGAACAACAACGCCGTAGCAGCGGCAGGCCGGCCATCTAGATCGAAATCGGTGCCTCTGAGACTGCAGGATGCAGGTGAAAGTGGTACTGGTGCTGGGCATTGGGTCCCCCAGACCACGCCAGCTGGCACCGCCATCGGGCACCGAGCGGCATGGCCCACCAGGCCGTTCACAGCAGGGTTATCCCACATCCCGGTACACAACAGGGGGTGCCACCTGGCGCGGGGATAATGCCGGGCTTCTCGGCCGACGCTGCTCGGTAAGCTCGTCAGGCGGCCGTAGCAAAGGTTCTCAACGACAAGCGATTTCGCGGCGCCCCACAAAGAAATTGGAGCGAGTCGGAGAGCGGCGACGACGACGAGGGGGGGGGCAGCCCGACGTCAAGTGGCAGCAGCAATGTTTCGGTAGAGGACAGTTCAGCTCCGTCGGACATTGGCCCACAGTCGGGAGATGTCGTGTTCGAAAAGGAAATTCGGGAAGCAATGACCGGGGAGGGGGAGCGGGCACGAGGATCAAGAACCACGGCAAGCGGGAGGCGAGCGCCGGCGGCAGCTCCGTAGGGAAGAACAAAGCAGCAGCATCCCACCACGCGAGTGCCAAAAAAGCCCGGGGCAAGGACTACCCGCACTGGGCCACACACTTTCTGAAGAGGACATGTGCGCATCCCGAGGATGTCGCAGGGCAGCAAGGATGTCCTGGTGGCGGCCCTGCGATCTCTCGACGCCAACATGAAACGGTCATCTCCGTACTTCGACGACCTCGATGCTGTCGCAGCCGGTGAGTTGCTGGTACCGTGTAGATTCGCCGTCAATTAGAGTACCAGCAGACGACACAAAGTATCGACAAAATATAGGAAGTAAATGCTGCAGTTGAACGCAGTGTGCGCAGAGGAAACAAAACAAAATACTGTGTGTGTGTAGTGCCCGCTTCAAATCAACCTATTTGTACAGGAGCACGTACGGCATGCTCGAGAGCTGTTTTATTCGAGCGAAGCGAGATTTCTAATCTCGCCTGAGGTCTCACCGCAATAATAGGCTCCATGCAGAAAATAATAGTTTGTGCGTGTGTTCGCTTAAACTATGTTTGAGAGTACAGCAGTACATTACTTGGTATTAAAGGGGGGGGGTCAGCAGACAGAACACAGAACACACGATGTTGTTGCAGTGCAGACAGAACACGCGCTCATCGGGCACGGCGACCCACGCACACCGGTCAGAGCACACTGGGCAGAGCGGACACAGCCACAGCGAGAGACAGCCACAGCGAGCGACAAAAAAGCCAGCATGGCTATTGCATGAATAGACTTCCGTTGCGGTCGATTGACCCGAACTCTCTCCGTGAGGCGGAGGCGCACACAGACTCACGGCGCAGACAAAGCCACGGGGAGAGGGAGTCCCAAGGCAGCCCACAGCTTGACAGGGCGAGAGCTGCTGCTCGTCAGAGGACTGCCGCCAGGCGTGCGACGGAGACCGATGGAGCACGGGCAGAAAGGTGCGTTGCGTGTGCGTGTGGGCGGCGATTGCCCCAGGAAATTTAATAACCGCAGAGTTCAAATACACAACGAGGGCCTTTTTTTTCTTCCGCGCACACAGCAGTAGTGCTGCTGTACCCCACACCCACAACACATCGAACGCACGGCACACACGCAGGCTGCGGGCCAACCGAGAGAGAGAGGCTGCGAGGCGCCAGCGGCAGACACCACCGCAGCTGGCGGCTAACCGAGAGAGAGAGGCTGCGAGGCGCCAGCAGCAGACACCACAAGCGACAGAGGCCAGGTGTGGTTGCATACAAAAAGCTTGTTGGTGCCCAGCATTTTTAAACTTGTGCAGACATTTTTTCGCCGCATCGTCAACTTGGCATCGTCCACACGCATCACGCTGCCTCTGCAGATTAGACTAACCTCACGGACCCCACTTCGCAGGCGTGCAGCGGCTAGAGAACGGGCAGCAGCGGCCAGAGATGCCGAGAGGGCAAGGCGAGAGAGCGAGGCTCATGTCAAGCGGAGAGACCTTGCGGAGTTTGACGCTGCTAGGCCGCTAGAAAAGTTGGGTTGGGCCAGAGACGACATGCAAACCACCTTCCAGCAGCCCATGAGTGCCCGGAGGATGCATGTGTGCACTGTGTGCTCTGAGCGTTGGGACTCCGCAGAGGACGGACCGGAGGACGGAGGCGTCTATAGGTGGGTGGTCTTTCGTGTTCAAACGTCTCGGCATGTCGCAACTTGTAACATCTTTAAAAACAAAAAAAACGATGTACGGAGCAAAAACAAATTAGGTATGTACGGAGGATAACACACGACCGGGAAAAAAAATATGGTTAGAACTGCGTTAGAGAGGGCTCGAACGTCACGTTACCCTTCTATACCCCACCGCCTGCCGCCCCCACACCCGCTTGTTGGTACAGTTGTCCGCGGTGCAAGAAGGACAAGAAGAGTCAAGTTGGGCTGGTGAACGGCATTAGAGGGGAAGTCGTCGAGTTGGTGTATGCTGAAAATGCGCCCCCGCCGAAGCTCCCCCTATACGTTGTCGTCAACTTCGAAGGGTACTCGGGGGGGGACTGGTCGTCTCAGGAGAGGTATAGAGGTTGTGTCCCCATTTCTCCCGTCGACACCATGTGGCAGGACGGGGGGACGCAGGTCCGGACGCAGCTGCCCCTTAGGCTCTGCTGGGCAATCACGATGCACAAGTCACAGGGGCAGACTTTAGCCAAGGCCGTCATAGACTTGGGGCCCAAGGAGGCCTGTACGGGGCTTACTTTCGTCTGTCTCAGTAGGGCGAAGAGACTTGTGGACCTCATCGTAGAGCCCATGAGTTTCGACAGGATAGGTAACCTTGGAAACTCATCGACGATGAAGGGTAGGCTGCAGGAAGAGGTTAGGCTTGGGGAGTTAGCACGGACTACGAGGGTCAGGTACACGGACATGGGCGTCTTCGGCGCCGTCGCGGGTAACCAATGAAGTCAATTGCAAAAAAAAACAATTTCTTCCACCTCCCGCGGACGCACACGTCTGACGACAGTTACATCTATCAGCTGTCGCTCGTTGTAGCGACAGCTATCCTATCTTTTGCCCCAGTAGGTGTGATATTGAAGTCACTCACAGCGTCCCACACGGCATGCTTTATTGACGATCTTCAATCGGTGGTGCACCGACCACTACGCTTAATCGTTGGGTGTTCTGTCCTCTCACGCCCAGAGGAAGCAAGGTAAGGTGAAATATGTTTTGTGGAGGACAGTCATTAGGAATATGTAGTTTTGCCAACCCTGGGTGTGTACACCTGAGGCTTCCTCTCATGCGAAGGCGTATTCATTGCCTGGGCCGTTTTCTCATATTCCCAATGTTCGCGCAGGCAAATCTAGACGCGGACGCGGCAGCGAGCAGGAGGAGGGGGAGGAGGAGGTAGCCATCCCTGCGAAAGCACTGCTTACGTTCCGAGGCATTGTGAACATGGTCGCCCTAGCACGTGACAGTGCTGATCCGTTTATATCCGAGGATGTGGACTACAGTGTGGCGGACCTTTATGACGCCATGGAGGAGAAGACAAACCGGAACTGGGGGATTCTGCCGGCGGGAGTGCTCCCACTGGTGGTTCGTCGACGGGGGGTGCAGCCGGACCGGACGGGGGTGGTTCCGCCGGAGTGAGTGGCAGCATCACGGAGCAAAAGGGCCCACACTGCATGATGCGGCTCGTTGGGATCCTGTGCGAAGACTCCATCCGCCCACATCCGCCCACTTGTCATCAACAGCCGCTTGCAGGCGACCCGGCAGGAGCTGGACACCTCAGCAGTTGGGCCGCGGAACAATTTGTGGACAGAGGTCACCGACCGCTTCCGAGACCCTGGCCACAATGTGCGTGCTGGGGGTAGGGGGTTGATTAGCACGGATCTGACGAGAACGTTGTACAAAAACAGCAGTCGAAGTGTATGTTGATAACACATGCCGTTTATTGATAGTTATTTTTAGGCATGGTACTCAACACCCNCGCGGAACAATTTGTGGACAGAGGTCACCGACCGCTTCCGAGACCCTGGCCACAATGTGCGTGCTGGGGGTAGGGGGTTGATTAGCACGGATCTGACGAGAACGTTGTACAAAAACAGCAGTCGAAGTGTATGTTGATAACACATGCCGTTTATTGATAGTTATTTTTAGGCATGGTACTCAACACCCCATAACGTCCACGGACGATCGCGCCATCGTTTTAGGTAAAAAGCCATTAGGTATCCAACCCCAAGAGCGGGGCAACCTGCTGTTGACGTCTACCGGTAAGTTATGTAGTTGTTGCTGACGCCGACGACCATACTGCTGTAGATACTGCTGTAGTTTCTTCGTTGCCTATTATAGTGGAAGACATTGAAAACGCGCTGAATTTTTTCAAAGGAATGCACAGATAGCCAGACAATATTTTATGCCAGAAGAAAATAACAGGCCGGGAACAGACCGACATTGGCCCTTCCCGCAAGAGAGGTGCATTCCCCCCGTTCGTTTTTTTTTTTTGGTATCGAAATCGAGTTGAATTCCTCGCACTTCCGGGGGGCGGCATCTTTGTAGGTAGGTATACACAACACTTGTATGATCTGCGTTGCCCCTTCCATCGCTCCTTCGCTGTATGCCTGACCTATGGGTGCTGTGGACGTTTTTCAGGCGAGAAAAATCGTGGACGACGAAGAAGTGAGTCGCTTCAACCCGAACATCATCCAGCAACCAAACATCTCGGCGGAAAAGATTACCAACATGTGGTCTGCGGCAACGGCGAAATGAAACACGCCTAATGCCAACTGGAAGAGTGAATCCGGCAACAACCAGCCATGGCTTTCATTTTGCGAAGGTATGAGATGAGTGACGTAGGGCTGGGTTTGTNCTGACCTATGGGTGCTGTGGACGTTTTTCAGGCGAGAAAAATCGTGGACGACGAAGAAGTGAGTCGCTTCAACCCGAACATCATCCAGCAACCAAACATCTCGGCGGAAAAGATTACCAACATGTGGTCTGCGGCAACGGCGAAATGAAACACGCCTAATGCCAACTGGAAGAGTGAATCCGGCAACAACCAGCCATGGCTTTCATTTTGCGAAGGTATGAGATGAGTGACGTAGGGCTGGGTTTGTAATAGCGTCTGTTTTCTCCAGGAACCTTGGGCGATTTTGTGGCCGTGGCATCAATTCTGCCCATCCTACTTCAGCGTGTAAGTGCTGCTACGGTCGGAGTTTTGATATTGTACTTGGAGTTGTCAACAGATTTGTAAAACGTACTCCCGGGATGACGTCCACATTGAGGCCTGATTGAAAAGGATTGTCTGCACCATGAGCTTTATCGTGTATTTTGAAGCAAGACCAAACACCTTACCAATTGCTCCAAACAGACCACTCCCCGCGCGTACCCCCCCCGGTGTTTGCCACCGGGGTTGGGTTTTCGTCGCTTGGCAACAAGGTTGTAAAACAAGCCCCCTCATNGGATGACGTCCACATTGAGGCCTGATTGAAAAGGATTGTCTGCACCATGAGCTTTATCGTGTATTTTGAAGCAAGACCAAACACCTTACCAATTGCTCCAAACAGACCACTCCCCGCGCGTACCCCCCCCGGTGTTTGCCACCGGGGTTGGGTTTTCGTCGCTTGGCAACAAGGTTGTAAAACAAGCCCCCTCATCGATGTTTGCCATCGGGGTTGGGTTTTCGTCGCTTGGCACCGACGTTGTAAAACAAGCCAATTCACTTCGTGAACTCGGCAATCAGGGTACCTTTTTTTTTGTTTGTTTTTCCTCTGCTTTTTTTTTGGCGATAACCATGAATGGTCGTCGAGTAGACCATGTTGTGCGGGGTCGAGAACCCTCACTCCGCGCAATGGGGATGATCGCACCACGTTGTGTTAATATGGTCAAGCACCTTCGAGGCAGTTGTACAGTGCTTACAACTGTCTCTGGAAGTGAAGCATCGGAAAATAAATTAACTCATACGCAGCTGTCATCCGTACGCAAGGAAGTAAGCA